TTTCGTTTATAAATAATCCAGAGGTACCTATGTTAATTATATACGAATAAGATAATACAACCGTAGGCGTAAATTGGGGGGGGGGCTAAGACCCACCGAAAACCTAGGACATACAATTTTAAAATGCTTTATTGCAATGGTCTGCTTGCCTTTAATACATTCAGCCCCCCCAAGTCAATAGTTGAAATTGCGCCCATGAATAAAACAACAATATACGTAGGTACATAGGTAATAATAAGTCTAAGGCAGAGGACTGGTAGCATATGCATATTTGTTTTACTTAATCACAAAAAAAAAACAGAGTAAGACGCAGCTAGTTTTATACAATTGTATTATGCATATAAATGCATATTTCGAGGTTTTTACTTTTTTTTCTAATAACTATGATATCGACTATAAAATATTGCCGGCAGCTGTAGATAATATTATAATATTATGTGTTACCTATGCATGACAAATTAAATATAATTTGTCATGGTGTTATCCACTGATTCTGAATACTAGTAAACATAATCAATGGTACTACCTATATAATAATAATTATTATTAGTTATTAACATCAAACGGCTGTAAAAAATGGTTACAAAAGAGTACAAATGATATAGTGATATGATTATAAATATCAAATTATAAGAAATTAATTAATATAATATACAATAAATAAATAAATAATATAATATAAAATTCAAATACAAAGAAGATTATATAGTATTGATATAGAAACCTTAAACGTGAGGAACGTGACCTAAGTAATTAAGGGGATTGGAATCGACGATTTTCTGCCTTTATCTAACACACGTGCAACATAGGATTATAGACGTGTTCTATTTCCAACGTACCGATTAATCTAATGAAGCGATAAGAATTCTGAAAACAGATTTTAATTTGTCGGCAAGTCTACTTGAGATCGACTTTCCCACATTTTTGATTTTTTGATTTAAACTTCTCCAAAAATTGAAATATTAAAATTTTTTAATTACTATTTTTAATATATCGTTTTTATGATTTTGGTGGGACAATATCAAAAATCTGGGAAAGTCGATCTCAAGTAGACTTGACGACAAATTCAAATCTGTTTTCAGAATTCTTATCGCTTCATTAGATTAATCGGTGCGTTGGAAATAGAACACGTCTATAATCCTATGTTGCACGTGTGTTAGATAAAGACAGAAAATCGTCGCTTCCAATCCCCTTAAACTGAATTCCCAGCTCTAAGCATACTATATGTAGTATGTGGTTATGTCCTTACGATGTTATATATAATTTCCACTGTGTTCTAGATGAGTGGTTTGGAATTCTGAATGGTATGGCTGAAAGGAAATCAGGCACGTCAAGATAGCCATTTAATAGGGCAGACAGGAAATCTAAGTCCGCATTATCACTGCTAGAAGATAAGGTTTACATTTTTAGAACTTGCCTCATATTAGTATAGTCGTGAGGTATATGGTGAATATTTAATTTAAAAGCCACATAATTTAAAATTTGATTTGCACACTCTCAGTCGAATCTGATCTTTAGCTAGGAAAGGCTTCCAGACTACTGATCCGTATTCTAACACAGAACGAACTAGGGCAAATTAAAAAAAAAATTTATTACGAATGACAAACCCGCAGAAAGCACATCATTGGAAGTGAAGGTAGAGAAAAAAGGCAGATCATATGGTAAATTAGGTTGTATAGTCTGAAGGTTACTGTTTGACTAAATACCATCGAAGAGCTTATTGAATAAGTTGGCGGATTCAATTTGGTTAGACGATGTTTCATGCTTAAGTTTTACTGACGAGATAATGGTTGGTTTTAGATTTAAGTCTTTAACATATTTCCAAAAGCACCTGGGTTATTGGGATAAGTTGGATTTGGCTTGGCTGATAAATTGTTGATAGTTAATTTAGAGAGACGCTTGTACTTAGCACCGAGTTCAGAAAAGGTATTATAGTTTGAAGCTAGACCTGAATTCTTGAAGTTTAAGTGTGCTTTTTTCTTTTTAAAAATAACACCTTTAATTCAGAGGAAACCCAACTTGAAAAATTCGTTTTGTAACCCTTAGAGGTTCATACTATTCAATACACCTGTAGAGGGCATCATTAAAAACAGTTGCCCCGTCATTTGGGCTATATTGAGAGAATGTTTTAGTCCAATTTTATTGAGGGACTCAAAAAATGAAGAGGCTTCATTGTAGTCACAACTTTTAAAATCACGATATTCGGTGAATTCAGTTTTTAAAAGCGTTGAAAGGAGAGGGGAGAAGTTCTCCGTGGTGGATGGTATAAATCGGCTTTAACTAATCGATAGGCAACTTGTGTAACAGATAAATTATTCGTGTTTGAGATAATTACTATAAAAAACTATAATAATATTATGATATGAGTGATTGACATTAGGACAGTCCGTAACAAACGTATATCTATAGTACAATATGTAATGTTAAGGTATAAACGTTTCCATTCACTAATCACTCACTATTTGAATGCGGAGGAGGCAAAACCATAGACATATAAATTATATTTAAATATATTATATTATATATAACTATATTAGGTAGGTATATATTATTATATTATTATATTGAATTACACATAATTAATATGCCTATTACAAAAACGAAAAGATATTTCCGTCGTCGGTAGATAAGAATCGACAGTCAAACAAAATAATAGGTACCGACATTTGAACATTTCTCAAAAATTATCGTTATATACATTTTACGTTACCTTAATGACACCTGTCGGTTATAAATGCGGAGAGGGTTGTCAAAATTCCTCATCTTCGTTTTTCGTCCAGTCTTTGCAGTAAATTAAATAGGAAAAACACCTTTGAACAAAAAAAAAAATCGCATATACCATATAACTTGAACTGTAACGATATAATCTCAGGGGTGCTGTAGCGTAATTAAGTGTCGTCAGGAAGCAAAACAAAAATGAATTTGAAAAAATCGTTGTTGACGTGAAAACGGTCGTCTGTCCGTCGAAAATATAACGCGAACGGTTAGACGATGTGTATCGCTTCACTGACGGTTCGGTACGACTGCACGCTCAGGGATCGCACTTAAATACTAAATTGGCGGTAAGCCGAACACAACAGCAGGACCGGGGTTGTGATCTGAAGGGATGTCGTCCAGACGGAAACCGCAATTCACCGCCTCCGAATCCCCACCAAACCTATACACGCTCTGGCGGCCAACACGGGCACTCTCTCTCTCTCGCACCACTACGAATGACATAGTACACAACAGTATTCTTCTCTGTGGTACGCACAGGTTGCTGCCGATATGGTGCTAGCAGCAGCTGCTCGTTGAGTTGAATAATAATAATAAATGAGAATCTAATTTCCAGGAATGCCTATAGTATGAATTGGTCAACTGTACCTACATATAAATTATAACAGTATAATATGTATTGTATTGTCGTTTCACGTTTGACCGACATGGCACGTAATCGATAAAATTGTTACTGCTTACATTTTGTTGGTAGATATCTCATTTCCGTCCGTTTCTGGTACTACTAACTATATGACCGTTAGGGAATCTATTGTATCGTTTTTTTTTCTTTATTTTTCAACCTTTCAACCTCGTGGCCCGTGGAATCCCGTTCATTTGCTCATACCTAATATAACATACCTTTTAAACTTCTACAAGTGTATCCAAATTTCAGAATCAAAACCATGATTTTAAAACCTGCTTTTCATCTTTGGAAACGTGGGTAGCATATAGCTTAGTGTCTTAGTAAGCTGTAGGATTACTTAAATTAATATTATTATTACCCTTATTTGCAGTATTCATGTGTTATTTTTCCATATAGTCCATTTTCTATTCAATTGTTCAAAAAAACGTAAAATACCAATTTATATCTAGGTAAATGAATAGACAACCAGTATTATTATAAAATAATCACTCATTGATCTGTGTATAAATGTGTATATTATTCATGACATTTGTTCACTCGAGTACTAAATAATAAATCAATCAATCGATTCTAGAGTTAAATTAATTGAACATAGTTCACAGAAAAAGTATGTTTATATTATATTACTTCATACTTGGGTACGTCACGTTAGGAAATGGATAATTAAATTAAGGACATTGGTTGAAGAAAAAACTTAACATACTTATTGCTTATAATGTATAAAGTTCTACAATTATTATATTATATGATGCAGCTTTATACGCGCTCTCGTTCACTCGGCTTTACACATGTCATTATTATTATTATTATTATTATTATCATTATCATTATTATTATTATTATAGTGTACATATTGTATTATTATTTTTATGTCAACGTTTGTGCATAAATTCAATTTGGACGATTTTTACCAAACACGACAGTAATAATGTTATGTCTTATGTAGGAAATACAGACCTGACGTAAATATTATGTTTACGTGCCCAAAGTAGGCACCTAAATATATCGGCCGTTTATCGTCGTCGTCGTCTTGAAAAATAACAATATACAAAACACAATGATTTAGTGTCGAGGAAAAACACTCAATAGGTTGTTTTTACTAATGAAATGTAATCATAAACTAAAAAGTCGAACGTGGGACATTGTAATGTATAATACTGTAATATAGGTATGAATAATTTTACGACTATAGAATATTATTATACTGTGTGACGTTTAATAATACGATTCTGAGCAATGTCGTAACTACAGAGTGGCATGTATGTACATGGCCCCTACGGCCTCTAGGGGCTTCAAAGGGGCCTTCGGACGTTTAGAGTATTATATTTATAAATAAATAAATAAAGAGTTTTAAAATGAAAATGTTGTAAACTGAAAAGAAAATGTTAAATTCTTCTGATATATTCTGCAGTATCATGTAACTGCGTAAACGACGCCGTAAAATTGTGTCCCGACTCATTTTGCCGTAACCACTACCACCACCGCTGCAGTGTGCCAGTGGACCTTAATATAATAAGGAAGTTAAGGTCTATTCACACTAGCGGTCTCGGTTCGGTCCGGTCGCGGTCAGGTCAAAATCGGTAGTAGGTAATCGCGTCCAATGCCGGTCTCAGGTAATCGACGTGTTTATGGATGGTGTGCGGGCCACGGTGGGATGCGGCTTGCACCGGGACGCCGAATGTCTGCTGATTGGCGGCCACCACGACAGCCGCCGGTCGGCCGCTTACTGCTTCATGATGTCGCTCCGGTGCATGGCTACTGCTACACTGGATGGATGGCCACCGGGCCATGGATTCCTGTAGCTACAGTCACACTTGGACGACAGGCAGGACACGCCGCAGTATGCTGCATACTCCGTCAACGTGGCCGCGTTCTTGTTGGACCGGCTGGGCCTGCAGTCTATTGGCCACAGTCAATACCTCCGTTCTTGAGGTGGCCCTCGCAGTGCTAGATATCAAAGAGTTTGACCACAAGTTACGGGCCGTGCATGCGCAAGCGTCCGGTATGGCCCATTGTTATACGTTTAACACCAAACACGTCTTCATCGGTGACGAGACCGACGGCCAGCCGGCCATTCATGTGGTCGCCGCGGTGCTCGTAGTTCGTGGATACCTCATCACGGCCACGTACACGTAGACGCTGGGGTGAATGCGTGACCGATGTCGGCACCTGTCGGCCTCAAAATGCTTCGAATGCGCTTGTGGAACTGGGTATACGCATCACCTGGTCTCTGTGGTCTGCGGTGGTGGCGTCGATGGCCAGTGAATGGGTGGCCGGGCTGTGGCTGTGCACCACTTTCGGATGACTCGCCCCCGCCGAAGCGGCCCACGCGCTGCAGGCCGTCGGAGCGCTTTCCAAGACCCACGACTGCTCATGAGCCGATTTCGAACAGTTCCTGGAACGGGCCCACGACGGAACGATGACGCCGCTACACGCCGACTACTACGTCACTGTGGGGGTCAAGTACGCACTGGCCAAACTGTACGCAGACCAGATTTTGGGTAAAAAAAATCTAACTTCAAACGTTCATAAAAAATTTATTTGACTTTTCAATAGATATACTTTTTTTTTTGTTAAAGGAAAAACGTAGGTATGTGAAATCTGAGAGAGAGAGAGAGAGAGAGAGAGAGAGAGAGAGAGTGAGTGAGAGGGTGGAAAAAGAGAAATCGTCGTCAAATGGGTCCAGTGCATCGTTTTTTTTTTCGTCCCGTAAACAATAATACAATGTGTTTGGGTTGTAACGGTGTGAAACGCTATTTTCTGAATAGCGAATAATAATTTCAAAAGCATAATAGTATCCCGGAATCACTACACCGACCATCCCGATACAATATTATATACGGAGACATAGTAATATATTATATATATTATATATAATATCCAGTTATTTTAAAGAACTATAAAGACCACCCAATACCCATCATCTGACGTTATATGCTACCCTCGAGAGTGTCAATACTCGTATATCCTGCGTCCATCGTTTTTACAAATATAGTAAGTAGATAATAATATATTGTACCTATATTATACTATAATATACTGCAGTCTGTCGCCTTCGCGAATTATATTAATATTGTTAAATGTGTAGGTATAGTAGGTACCTATTCATAGCCAGCGAATTGAAATTTTACAGAGGCAAGTTACAAATATCCCAACAATTAATGCATAATAATGTATTAATATAATATAGCTAATTATATATCATATCATTATAATTGACTACCTACCTATTGAGTATATCATATTACATTAACCCACCGACTACTTCCCACCCCTAATAAAAATCTCGGAGGCAATTTCCTCTGAAATTACCGTTTGCAACATCACTCTATCTGTACAGAATAATAATATTTTGAATACATTGTTCGCTTCTAGAATATCGCTCCGTAGGTAGGTATACATATATTTAGATGAATATTTCCAAATCTCAGTTTTTGTTCATCCTATTGCAGCTATAGATCAATTATATGGGGGGGGGGGTTAGTTCTTGAATACCGTTTTGCTAAACTCAAATTGATAACATAAGTATTAACATATTATAATCAGTCTTGTAAAGTATTAGAATACAAGTATTTGAATACTTGTATTTAAATACTTTTTGAAGTATTTATATGTTATTCTAAATACAATTTTTTAAATGTATTTTTTAAGTATTTTGAATACTTTTTAAAAGTATTTATAACAAAATGTAAATACTTGTATTAAAATACCATTAATTCCGTTTTATTAATTTTAATTAATTATATCACAAAAAATTGACATCAATAAAAATAATACTGTTTTCGTTGAAAACTAATATTATGTTTTTGTATAGTAAAAGTAGGTAATAACAATTATTACAATTTAAAAAATACCACATACAATTTTATATGGGTTCTGTATTGGAATTTTTTAAGAAAACTGAAAATCTAATAATTTAAAAATAGTTCCATACTAATAGTTAATACCACTTTTTATTTAATTTTTTTCATTAACATTTAATCAATATGAGTTGAAATATATCTTAATGCAGAATGAAATATGTGAACATGTATTTATCCCTAAATAGTCAGACATGTTATAGTTATTGTTAAAATATATGGTAAGTCGTAAGTAGTAACATAACAGGTACCTATACTGGAGTACAATATACATATGTATATATTATATAGCAAACAATTAAAAAAAAAAATACTTGTATTTGTATTCAAATACTTTGTGAGTATTCATGAAATACATTTTTATAATAGTATTTTAAAAGTATTTTTAATACTTTTTTATTCGAATACTAGTATTTGTAGTATATTAAAACTTTTTCAAAATTATTTTTTACGAGACTGATTATAATCTATATATTTGATGTTTGCATCAGCGGTCTGTATAATAATCAGTGTAGAAACAATTAACAAATTAATAAAATGTATTTACCTATTAGAAAAAACAATACATCTCACGACTTATGGGGGGGCAGTCACACCACCTCACTCCCCCCACAGGGACGCCCCTGCATTGCAGTGCCGATCTAACAATAATTGTACACCTACTATGTGGTTAAAACGGTACAGTAAACACTTGTAATATTAGACACCTGAAATCGATCGTTTGGAAGATTGAATGTCAAATAAAGTACTACCAAATAAGTATGTAACTATTCGTATTAATGTTATAAAATAAGCAACAATATAAATAACTAAAATTTTTATAATATACATATTCTTATTTATGTATTCTATACATAAAGTTTATTACTATATACAATAATTCAATTACTAATATTAACAATATTTATTATAAAATATTTTCTGTTGTATACAGAGTATAAAATATAAAATTAATATTTTTTTTTTTTTTTTAAATATTTATTAGACTATAAACAATCTATACAAGTAAGTACAATAAGCTTATGTGCTAAGAGAAAACATGACATGAAAAATTGAGTAAGAAGCCGCCCACTGACGACACTTTTAATTAATATAAAATTATTTTATCTCTTTTTGAGTAGGTATATTTTTAGTTATCATAATTTTATTTATTATAATTTCTACTGGTGTGTGGGCAATTCGTAATAGTAAGATAAATTGTTTAATTATTTTAATTATAATTTTTTTAAAAATTAATATTAATTACATACATAGAAAAAAAAGTATGTTCCTGCGCGCGGGTCGACAATATCGACACATATTCGACTGGACGTATTTTTGGAGCGGCGATACGAGAAAGGTTATCGGAGCTAATTTATTCAACATTACATTACATTACATTAAATTAGAGGCATTTAATTAATCAATTGAAAAATTAAATATAATAGACCAAATAATTGAAAAATATTATAATAAAATCAATTGATTAAACAATTTTAGATTTTTAAGTTTCTGATTTTTTCGTTTGTATTAACTACCTATCTGTATGCCAAATTTGAACTTTCTAGGTCATCTAGAACTGGGTTAGAATCTTGATCTATAGGTCAGACAGTCAGTCAGTCAGTCAGTCAGTGATAACAATGACGATTTTGGGACGTTAATATCTAAATAACGATTTGAGGTGTGTTTATGAAATTTGAAGCACATATGTATCTCGTAAGTCTGAATATATGAGCCAAATTTGACATGTTTATGTTTAATATATTTTGAGTTATGAGGGGGTCAAAAGAGGCTCCTAATGGTTCGTGTAATATTACACACGGTGCTGCTCGCCGGTTCTGTTAGCTAGAACTTGGCTTGACACGCTTACGCGTGTCTAGATAATACTGGTACGCCAATATACGATATTTTTCATATGAATGAATGAGAATTGAGAACTATCAACTAATTATAGTTATTAGTGTTGATAAATATTATTTCTATTTACTACGATAACTATACATACGTCTGTACACCAATATCCTCGTCCGTCGAGACTCGACTGCGTTTGCATTAATGCGTTTTAATATTGTAATCATTTGAATAAGATTTATGTATAGCCATATAGGTTATAACGGGCATCGCTCATTTGCGCCAAAAAAAAATGAATTCGTTTTGGGTGCAGCCCATTTGCGCCAAAATAAAAAAGGTATGTTTTTCTGACAGCCCATTTGCGCCAACTTTACCTGCGTAAACATTTTAAATTAACGACTTGGTTAGCTCTTTTATTTTAAAGACGTCGTGTTTGTAACATATATCAAAGTTATTTTTATAAGTCTATAGATTTTATAGCTTTGTATATTATTGCGTCGAAAGATAAGCAAACAAGTTTTATATCAGTTTTATTATGTTGTACGATATAGGTATCGTTATTCGTCAAAAGAACGATCGCAGTGTGATTTCATCAGACATTCGTTACGTTACACTATCAAAAATAAAGCCATGCAAAATTTTAGTTTAATGTTTAAACCAAAATATGTTACAGTTGATTTTGAATTATCTATACATCTCTCAAAATATATTTCACCTACTTAAATCTTTTAACATTAAAAATAAAAAACACTGATCGAAAAATTAATTTATTACGAAAAACCTAAAAATGTATGAAAAATTAGTATACTAATGCCGCCTATGAATATTTTCAAATTCTGTCACCAGGGGTAATGCCCCCTTTGCCCCTTGTTAAGCACGCCTCTGCTGAGATCTAATCATGATAAACGACCGACCGCGACACGGATAAACACGAAATTAAGGGGGCTGCAGCCCACATATTTTTCATACGTTTTAGACCAATAAGCGGTGGTAAATTACACATACTTTGGAATGTCTGATTTAAATTTTTTATACATGTTTGAATTCATTGATAAAATATCTAGGTTTCTTAGGAAAGTCGATTTTCAATTTTCAATTTAAAATGACCTTAAAATAACCTTTTTTTAGGAATCCCATGAAATAATTGCATTACATTTGTATTTATCTTGGGCACATCTGATTTTAAATAAAAAAAAGTGATTCCTAAGAAGCGTAGTCTAGAATTCTACAAATTCAACAATTTTTTCGAAATTACAATCAA